TTCACAATCAGGTATTAAGTTGACTTGATTTCTGGAGTGCAACAACTCTTCTTTATCCGTTGCTGCTGTATTCCCTCACTTTCTACACTTTCCTTGTGTGTGTGTCTATGTGTGTGCCATTGCTGTATGATTGTGGTTCATAACCTTCATTGCATGCCATCTCACTTCTTCCACCCCCCCTCCAATAACTGGCACACTAGCAAGTAAAGCTGAAATAAATCAACAGAAGCTGGAATTATTCCTACCAGAACAGAGCTGTTGCTGGTGCTGTTGCTACTGCTATGTTCTGTAGTCACCAGAAGTAGTGTGTGTGTGTGTGTGTTCTCTGTGTGACTGTTGTGTGTGTGTGCTGCTGTTGCAGTCTGCTCCCAGTGTCTGCCGACAGAGGATTAATCTCCCCAGCTGAGGCAGTAGCTAAGGTCAGCAAGGGAAATATTTCATAAGTGTCAGCTTGGCCCGTAGCCCTCAACGCAGAGTTCGAAATGAGAATGCACGGTCGCATAACAAACGGCTGTGTGAGACTTTGTGAGGCTCACACAGAGCACATGAGGTGGGGGGGGGCACGTGATATATGGCAGTGCTTCACTTTCATGTATTCATCTGAGCCGGTGAATTACTGCCAGGGACAAGCACGGTGCTTTGTCACCACAAGGACCCAGTTGAGACAAATATTTTGGCCACACGAGGTCTGTGTCTGGAATGCGTTTTCCATTCCTGCCTGTTCTCAAAGCCCTGTTTTTTTCATTTAAGGAGAATTCATAAAAGTAAATCACAACTTCTGCTTTACCACGTTTAGTTCAATTCAATAAAGCAGGGCAGTTTACGAAAACCCTCTACATGTTAAACGGTCTTATATATTAACTTTGTCGTATTCCCTGTATTTAATACTTTCAATGTTGCAGGTTTTTCTGCTCCTGCGGTGACCCAGGGTTGGCAAGCACATGCAGAGTGATTAATGGTAAGGGCGGGCCGCTTCAATAATTGTTTGTTTGATGTGTCAAGCTTTAAAGGCGCTGATTTACTTACACACTGATAGGCTTTTAATTGAGCGATGCCATCCCTTGTCACGTCAAAGTCGTGGCAGCTGACATGACTCTGCCTCACTGCGGGTTGTGATGATTGACATGTACTGCTGAGCCCCGCCCGTCCCACCCCTCATCATCATCATCCTGGTTGTGTTTGGCAGGAACTTTGCGGCTACTGCAACCTTCACTAACTTCTTTTGTTTATCAGATCCTGAACGCCAGAGAGTCATTCTTTTAAATAGGCTGTGGGGCTAAGTTTGAGGAGCTAGACTGAGCAACTTATTAAAACTCAACTTCAAATGTGTTGTGGTTTTAATTTTACAACAACATAGGTGTGGTTTAAAAGAAAGACAGAGAGACAGAATGTATGTTCCCAGCAGCTTCCCCCTCAACAAAGGTTGGATGATGAAGACACAGAGGCGGTGACTCTGACCGTGAGTGGAGGAAGCAGCGTTGACTTTAACAAGCGTGAGGAATGTGCTGGGAAGATTTTCTTTGCACGGCCTGTTGTTGTTCCTTTTACCAGACCTGTCACGGCTCCAGCCTGTGAATACCTTGATTGTGCTTCTATCAAAATGACCCCCCTCTGTCTTCAGACCAATGGAAAAAAACCCAACATCTTTTGATGTCATCTGAAATTTCACACAACAATGTAGGACAATCTGATTTGAGGCAGACGCTGTCTGGCAGCGCAGGCCCGTTCTCCCTCCACCTACTCCCCTCGTCTCCTCTTCCTCCTCCTCTCTCCGTGCTCTTGATAACTTCTCCGTGTGGAGGACAATAGCGGCTTTTGTTTCTGAGTGTGGAGAGAGGACTTGAGGTTGCACGGGTGTGGGCGGTGTGCAGCCTACGTGCCTGTCTGCGAATGTGTTTCAGGTGTAGCGAGTACGACAAGGCAGAAACCTGCACGGTGTAGGATTCGGAAATAAAAGTGGCAATCTGCGAACACAGAGGGAAGCCTATTATCCCGGTGTGATTATAATGCAGACAGATAGACGACAGGTAGGCAGAGTGGATAAGAGCGTTAGCTTGTGAGACGTGAGGAGCTGACAAGAGAGACAATCTCCCTCCTAAACTGGAGAGATAAGGTTGTCAACTGCAGCTCTGACTCTGACATGCACACAGATACACTATGTAGACAGTCAGATAGATGATACGGTATAAGAACTTCAAAAACACACACTTTTAAGATGGTATCACGCACATTATGGCCCGTCTGTTTGTGTTTGTGTGCACAGGCGACGTTTTCTTGTGTGAGTGCATGCACATTCAACTGTGAAAGGATTAGTATGTGTATGTCAAAGACAGAGGGAGAGGCAACCACAGAAAGATAAACGAGGAAGTGTGAATACATTAAGTACACTGTGTAGATATTGTTTGTGGACCTTTCAGCTCAAGGAAATCCTTGTTTCAACATTCTGTCCTGGCTGGAATGTTGCCTGCGAGGCTCTTTTTAAGTGTTTGGGTCTAAATGCCATGTCTGCTACACCCCATGAAACTGTCTTAATCCACTTTTTTCCCCTTGGTTTTATTACTGCTGGAGAAAACACTAGGGGTAGAGCAGAGCCCCAGCCTCAGGCCTCTATTCCCATTCCACACACCCCATAAGTCAGTCACAGATAATTAAATAGGAGTTATTTACACTCGTTTTCCCTCCTTTGCCTCTCTGGCGCTTTTATCATTTCTCTCTCCTTCTCTTTGTACAGTACTACACGCAGCCAGACCTTGTCAAAGTCTGGCTGACACCAGTGAAGGCCTATGGAAGTATAATAACTTGAAAAGCGAAAAAAAAGAAACAAGACTCTTATGAGCTCACATCAATGTCAGCCCCTCATTAAACAATCACACAGAGCATCTACATAACGCTAATCCCAGTGTGCGCCACAAAACGCCTCAGCACTTCCAAACACAGAGCAGAAGACAAACGAGCAGATGAGGATTTGCTTGAGCCAGGTTTGAAGAATTCAGCTGCCTAATGTCAGCATTATATATTTACTCTGGAGTCAGGCAAACAGCCGCTTTTCAACACGGGGATGAATTAGGCCCTGCCACAGAGCTATGGCGTCCATTACAGGCCTCAGTGGCTCTATAAATCACCGGATCACAGGGGCATGTGGGGTCTGCTCCTCCTCACTCCTCCTCAGCCCCTATCAGCCTCATCCTAGGGGGTTTTGTTTGGCTGCTGTTCCAGCCAAACCCACTGCTTTGATACAGCCACAGAGAGGCATGGAAATGCCCTCGAGGGCCAGCGGGACCTGGACATGCTGAGAACCCTCTTTAACGGGAAAGCTGTCCCCTTAAAATATCCACAACAGGAAACAGCCATCAGTCATCGACACGCCAAAACAGCTGTTACCAGCCTACATCAAGGGGACACATGAAAGGAGTTGCTCCCTGTTGTTTGAGCCCTCCCTTGTTTCATTCTCTCGCTGCCTTTGTCTGGCTTTTCCCAATGCCCTCCTCTTTGGTCTCCTTTTAAACGCCCCCCTTCCTTATGCAACTCCACCCACACTGCAGTGACTCACCCACTCACCCTTTTAACAAGTGGATGACTGTGCGATAAACACGAGCACAATCGGAAACCTCACAACTTAACTAGCAGTCTGTGTTGTAAAGAAATGTTTGAAATCCCCTTTAAGCTCTCAGCGTTACCTTTAAATCTCAGTGAGAAAGCAGTTGTTACACGTCACCTGTTTACGTGTCTCGGCCCAAGGTGCTGACAGACAGTTTTAAACAAACAGACTGATTCAGAAGAAGATTTTACCGCACTTAGCCCGGCGGCGTGCACATCTGAGTTCACATATTCTTGGATCTCCGCAGGTCATTGAAGCGTGAGTGGCAGTCTGTGGGTGATGAGTGACGACTAAGCCTAATGATGACAGGTCAAACAGTGACGCTGTTGAGTGAGACTGAAGTGACTTCATCCTCCTCACACTGCTTTTCCTCTCCTCTGCAGATAAATGGCAGCAGCCATTATAATCAAGGAGCAGGCCGATGGCGGTACAGTTTGATAAGGCCAAGCTATTTTGTGAAATGTCAAACAAGTTTACCTATTAAACCTCCGAAGAAAGGCTCGTTCTGCTTTTTCTTTAGCCAGTAATCAATGATCCATGACACTACTTTAAACAGACTGAATACAACAGTGTTGTAATATGTTGGATTATGGATCGGGTAGCTCAGGCCAAGCCATCTGATTAGTTGAAGAGGCGTTCCAACCAGGATGGAAATCCCCATAAAGCACAGCTTGTTGTTCTTTATGGAAAATGAAATTAAGTTACTGGGCTTAGTAATGCGGTAACCAAACTCTATTGTCTTTTTTGTTTTCTCTGTTTTTTGTGCAAGCTGGAGAAAACTAAACAAAAAATAGTGTTGATGCATGTGTAATACTTGTGGAAAAAAGCTCATAAATATGTGTTTTTGTTATTTCACTGTCAACGCAAAAGCTGAAGATGTCATTCACTGTCACAGCAAAATACGTGAGAAATTGAATCATGTCAATTTGCTTTTATCAGGGAAAATTGGATTAAGCTCAGTAGCAGCTGCAGTTTGGTGGCTATAATCCAATAAAGCCATTAACATACCAGAAATGTCCATGGACAGTAACTTATTATTTTGAATTTAATGCAGCTATTTGCAAGACATGGGTGGACACATTCCATACAACTAGAGACAGTGAATTCTCCATAGCTGATCCCTACCGGGTATATGTTGTCAAACACTGTATAATGATCTCAAATCTGTGATACAGTATTTATATTTTGTATGTCAAGTTTTCATGTGGCTTATAGGTCACTGACACAGATTTCCACCCGTACGTTATAGCCTGGGTATGAGGGTGAGGCCAGAAGACAGACCGCGCCCCCTCCTATTGTCCCGCCTCCGCTTCTGAATGCGGGCACTTGTGATTGGACGGCGGCTCATTGCTTTGAAATCCCTCCCCTCACGTCGTTAGTATGTGGAAGAAGTGAGGTACTGTGAGGCTGCAGCAGAGGGAGAGAGATAGACACACCGGAGGACTCTCACACACACTAACCTCTGCGGAGATATTCTTTCCACTTGCCCCGTATTTTGATGAGCAGTGACTACTAATGGTGTTTTGTTTTTTTGCTCGATTCCTCTTTTTTCAGCACTGGATAAAGGAATATTTAGGAATAATTAGCGGCTGATATTGAAGAGTTCGATAGAGGATGACATTTGGGCGATTTGTTCCTCTTTAGAGACAGCTTGGGTCCGACACGGTGGACGCGCACTGCGCACATGCCCTTCTGGATTACCGCACTCTCTTCTGTTGAATTTATCATCATGAAATGTGCTGGTGAATGAGTTTTTAACCCCGCGTCCACTCGTTACATGCCGCCGTCCCATTTCGAGCGCCGATCCAGATGAGAGATCTCCCCGGTGGACCTAAACCGCTTTTACGCAGCAAGTCCCCGGAGCGCAGCGCCGCCGACGCCAGCGGTGATCCACACCGCACAGGAGCGGAAAAACCGTCCGTTTCCATACCCACGTCTTGTCCTTCTCCCACTGATCCATCGCGCCAGGCCAAAAGGCTTCCCATCCGGATCATAAAGATGTTGACGGCGCACAGCGGCCACTTGCTGCACCCGGAGTATCTCCAGCCCCTCACATCCGCGCCAGTCAGCATTGAAGTAAGTAATTAAAAAGAAAGGACATTTTGTCACAGATTTGTTGGTACCAGCTGGCGATGTTCTTCCTGAATTAATCAGATAATATTAACCACTTGGCCTTGGTCACTGTGTGTGTTATTCTGTATGCCAGCATATGCGCCATTTTACGCACAGCGATTTATTGGCAAGTTCTCAAAACAGCAGAGTTTAGAAATGTACAATTACTGCAGATTATATACTGTCTGAAAACTATTATAGCCTGTTTATTTTTCGGTTATAATTTAATTAAATGTTTTCTTTCCAAATTTCTAAGAGAGCTCTTTGTTTCTTTCTTTCTTTTTTAAACTTTAACTCCCCAGGCTTCATTTGTGCATGTCAGATATAAATACACGACTCAGGGCTGATGTGGATTTGGCTGTTATCACATTGTTTGGCTAGTAAAATATATTAGTGTAATATTATTGTAATCATTGCATACTATAATTGTAATGTAAGTGGATATGTCTGATGATATTAAAATGAAATCGGTTTAAATAAACATTTTGTTCACCTTCTTGCTCTCTTTTTTCCTCTTCAGCTGGATGCCAAGAAGAGTCCTTTGGCTCTGCTAGCCCAAACCTGCTCTCAAATTGGCAAACCAGACCCTTCCTCCTCTTCCAAGCTGGCCTCTCTCTCCTCAGGCAGTCTGGGAGACAAGGAATCGTCCAGCCGATCTTCCAAATCTGGAGAGCAGCACCACTCCCTGGAGGACAAGTCCAGCTTCAAGCCTTACTCCAAGTCACCGGGCGACTGTCGCAAGGATGTTCAAGTGACAAAGGGGCCTTCAGATAAAGCAGCTTTCAGGGTGCCAAATGGAAGCTCCAGCAGTGGCAGTGCTTCATGTCCGTCCTTTCCTCCCCATTCCCGGTCACCCAGCTCCAGCTCTCCTCCCCTGCACACTCAGAGCCAGTCCCACAGACAAAGCCATTCCCCCTCCACGCAGCCCCCGCCACACTCCCAGGCCCCGCACATGGACAACAAACCCGGGAGCTCAGAGCAGGCCAGCTCGGACAGTAACAACAACAGCGCTGGCAAAAAAGACTCAGATTCAGCTAAGTCAGGGATGGATGGGGCTCAGTTAGCCAACTCCAGCCACATACGGGCCAGCGCCAACTCCAGCAATGCCAGCTCTGCCAGCAGCCCGCGGCCGGAGAGCAAGGCCGACCTGCAGGCCTCCTCACAGCCTGGCTTGGGCTCCGGGCACATTGCCCCTGTCTCCCCTTTTAAACCAGGACATTCTGTCTTCCCCATGCCTCCTTCTTCCATGGGCTACCACGGCTCCATTGTGGGGGCCTATGCTGGCTACCCCTCCCAGTTTGTTCCTGGCTTGGATCCTACCAAGTCTAGTTTGGGGTTAGGACTTCCAGGGAAGCACCCCAGCTCCAGCCCTCTCACTGGAGCTTCACCTCCATCCCTGATGCAGGGTTTATGTCGGGACCCGTACTGTCTGACTTACCCCAATGCACCTCACCTAGGAGGAAGTAACTGCTCCACCTGCGTCCATGATCCCTCAAGCCTCAAGTCTGGTTTCCCCCTGGTTTACCCCTCCCACCACCTTCATTCCCTGCACTCCAGCGCCTTGTCTTCCAGCACCACCCCATCCCTGTCCCACCCCCTCTACACCTATGGTTTCATGCTCCCCAATGAACCGCATCCTCACGCCTGTAACTGGGTGTCTGTCGGAGGTCCCTGTGACAAGCGTTTTGCCACGTCAGAGGAGCTACTAGCCCACTTGCGTACCCACACAGCCCTGCCCGGGATGGTGGACAGTAAGCTGTTGTCAGCCTACCCTTCATCAGTTTCATCAACAGCCTCCTGCCACCTCCACCTGCCCCCACCCAGCAGCCCAGGTACCCTGCCCAGCTCCTTCTCCCTCAGAGGCTCTCCTGGCTTGGGCCTGGCACGCTACCACCCCTACAGCAAAGCCCACCTGGCCGGAGCCCCAGGACTTCCAATGCCATCCCTCCCCTCCTCCTCAGCCTATTACTCCCCCTATGCCCTCTACAGTCAGAGACTGGGCGCAGCCTCGGCCCTTGGCTACCAGTGATATCAGAAATAGTGTTGACACCAACGTACTGCAGGCACCAGCTTGGACTCTCCAGAGCAGCCCTGAAGAGGGATTCTTGAGATTGGGGTCATCACCAGTACAGGGCATCGTGCCGGATGGCTTGCCTGCCAGGAATACCACCTGTTAGCCTCAGGATTGTGACTGGCACTCCCAAGGCAAGGGACCCTGTGACGGATGGTCTGCAGCATAGAACCAATAGACTTAAGTGAATAAAGATGGTGGGACACAGAGCTTGAAAATGATGGAATTGTGGGATTATTACAACAGTCTTGATTTTGTTTTTTGTTTTGTTTTTCTCTATATCTGTCTCCCAGAACTGAAAGTCTGTATTTATTTTTCATTCAAGCGCTTGGTATTCAACTCTGGGGGGAAAAGTTTGCTGTCCAAATAAATTGTGCTGAAGTATTCTAACTGAAAAAGAATGATTTAAGTATAGTACCATTATGCCTATCATACACTCTAAAAATAAAAATCTTGCACCACGATGAAGATGGACTGTGAAGCTTTATTCTGGGAACCTCTTTTTATCTCCTTTCCTCTCTGCTGTTGTTTTTTTTCTTCATCTTATTCAGACTCTGGAGAATTGCATGTCCATGAGAATGATCTTGAACAATGCCATTATTTTTATTTGTACATATGCAAAGATGTAATATTTTTTCAAGCTTACTTGGGGTCAGCAAGATGGGGGTCATAGATGTAAATGGTACAAAGATGCGAAAAGATTACATAAATAAAAACAATTAATGATGGCTGTGCTGTCCAACCAACAGGAAAAAGGTCTTATTTTGTTAAATAAATGATACATGATTGCATTTCAACTTGTTTTTTCCTTACTGATTACTATATATAGCACCATGAAGTAGCTTTTTGTCTGAAGCGTCAGAGGATGGAGTAAATCTTGCCAGACTGCTGCACTGCACTTATCTAGCTCTATCTATCATTACGGCTGTTACAGCCACGCTATATGTGGCTATGTGTAATATTTCATGGCTCATATCAGTTGACAGGGCTGTCCCAAGGAGGGCAGGCCAGGTCACATTAGCTCTGTTAGCTAGTCTCTGAGGACTTCCATCCCTCCTCCTCTCTCCATCACCCACATTGCTTTTGTTGTTGCGAGTGCAGCTTTTAATTGCTGATTCTTGTTCGTGAGGCCTGAAAACAGCCTCCTCAGCAGAGTGGATGGCGGTGTGGAGTGGCCGCTGGGTCACTGGGACTTCAATAATGACCTGAGGGAGGTGTCGACCCAGGATCTCCTCACGGTCTGACGGATTGGCCTGCAACACAAAGGCCAGAGCTGACAATGGGAGGCGGTTAATAGAGAAATATTCATCAAAGTCCTGACACCTCCCCTGAGGAGAGCGGGCTCTCTTACAGGAACCACAAACATGGAGGCTTCCGCCCTGATGTGAAGAGCCATTTTCTTGCTGCTCTCTGCTGCGCTGTGGTTTAACTGAAGTCAGCGTTCTCCACTCAGAGCTGTTAGATACTAATTTGAAGGGAAGGAGTCGGTCTATCTTAAAGCTGCACCGCTGCCATTAGAGTGTTTCGGCCCTGATAATGTCTCTGTGTCTCCACTCTATTTGGCTGACAGGGTGTAGGTGGCACAGAGCGAAGAGGCTGTAGTCTCCAAGGCGGCTATTGACCCCGACTCCCAGACTCCTCTACTCTCGCGGTTCATTAGCACTCCAGACAGGGGAAAGGCGAGCACAGGTGTCACTTGACAGGACCATTAACAAAATGGATGACCCTCCCAAACCACATCCAGCCCCTGCCACACCAGCAAGGTCACGGCGCCCTGATCACCGCTCTGGGCAGCTCTTTGGGACGCTACACTTATTTTTCTTCTTTAGAAACTGGAGCCATGCACTTCTCTGGAAGAGGGCTGACTTACTTTCTTGTTGCTGCTTTTTTTGATGGAGTTTATAAAGTGGTCTAGACAAAATAGGTCAAGGATATTTTGGTTTTAATGCTGTATTGCACATATGTATTTAGTGCAACATATTTCTTTGTGACTTGCAGAGTTGTGCCACTAGAGATACACAGGATTGTGTTGCCCCCTAAAGTTCTGTTGATGAAGTACAGGTGAAATCTGGGTAAGAAGGGCAGGTACCTGTCTTACACGAGGGTGAAATTGCAGTGCTATCTTGCTTTTGACATGTATGAGTGTGGACTGTGGGATGCTATTTTATAAACCATAGATAGAGAATTGGTTACATTGGCTTGAATGTGAAGATGATTCACACTGGAGGTCATTCAGAGGGGAGAACTTTCAATCTTGTCGGGGAGGTGGAATTAATTCCACTGTTGCCAGTTTACACTCGTTCATCAAATGCCTCACTATTCTCCCTATCCCCGCGCTCATCAATCTCCTCCATCTATCTTCTTCCCCCCACACACTCTTGCAGCTGAGTCAACACCCACACACTCCATTTATGTCGCCTGTGTGAGGCTGTGTGTGTCTGTGTAAGTATGTGTATTCAGCCCCAGTCCTTTGTCCATGGAGGGGGACACATGTGAGGCTGAATACTAGTCCCATCATATGAGATTCCAAAAAGAATAACACAAATGTTATTTTGTCTTAACAGTGCTGATGTTACGTTGCAATGTGCCAAATCTTCCTGTTTTAAAATTGAGTCTTGTCAACCCCAAAAAATTCAAATAAGCACCATTGATTGTCATCAATTTGTTAAGAAGAAGGAGTTAATATCACCTCAGAGCATTTCTGGGCCACTGTCTGAATCTGGTTTGGGTGCATATTGATGGTGGTACTCCAAAAATATCAAATAGGTAACAAGTAACTCAGCATTCTATTACACTATTATTATTATTATTTTACATAAATGGAAAGCTCCATTTGCACTAAATTATTCTGATGGTCTATGGTGCTTTTTCACCGTATTCAGTGGTTTTATTGAAATTGGTTGTTTTTTGTTATTATCAGAGGACCAAAAGCTCTTGTAGATCTTGTTTTCCTCTTCAAGTCTTCAAGTGCAGCAGAAGAGTACACAAAATACCCCCCACATTATTATTATTATTATTATTATTATTATTATTATTATTACCTTTTACTGTCTTATACCGCTTTACTGAGAGCTGGATGAGAGATTGATACTTCTTTCTTATGTCTTTGTTAAATATGAGCTAATAATTAAAAAGTTACATCTTTTTTTACCCGTGCAAAGATTTGAATGTAAAAACGAAAACATGTTAAGAATAGGCTTATTCCTTTAAGGTAGCAGAAGTATAGTCATGTAGAGGTTAGTCAGAGTAATGGTGGGAGTAATAGTAACAATGAATCAAACAAAGAATGATAGCAGTAATCAAAGAAGTAGTAGTATTGTATCAGTAGAGATAGTGATGGTGATGGAGGGGACTAATATTTTCCCCTCTGTGCGTCAGTGCTGAGATGGTGCAGAGTGCCACTGTGAGGTCCTGAGCAGCCAGCTGACAGGCTGGGTGATTAATGACGACAGGGTGTGGAGCTGCTCTTCAATTAGACGCCAGCTCTACCCTGGCTCACCATTCCTGCTGACAGCTAGGACAGAGAAAGAGAGGAGGGTACTCAGTCTTTCTCTCTCTCTCACTCTCTCTCTCGCTCGCTCTCTGTGTCTCCAGAACAAAACATTAACCTCAACTCCATGACTACCACCTCTGTGTTTAACATCAGGACACAATACAGAGCCTTCGGCATCCAACAGTGACCGCAGTGTTAAAGCAACCCAGATGGCGTGAACACATCCCTCATCAGGGCCTGTCACACAATCTCTGCTTTATTTCTCTGCATAAACCCTGTGACTGACTGTTTTACATGCCTGCTTCAACTCCCCTCTCATTCACGTCTGCAGTCAGCCATGCTGTAATGCTCGCTATGAGAACAATAACAGCCGCATTAAAGACTTCCAGGTTGTTTAGTAGGTTGTGTGCTGCTTGGAGCAGCTTCCTCCCATAATTCCAAGAACAGTAATGTTTTCTTGATCATAGGAATAAGGGGGTCATAAGAGGTTTTCAGTAGCCTGCAAACTTGTTCCAGCATTTGGTTTTTGAAACTTGCAAACATTTCTTCAAAATGCTGGTTGTGGCTGAAATGAAATGATGACAATATGGCTAGCAGGATGAACTTATTAGTGACTGAGTGTATATATTATAGATTCATTATAGATAAAAATGTACATGTATATTCAGGTTCATATATATATGATTAGCTTGCGTTATTGTCTCATAAAAGTAATGCAGAATTGAAGTTGAACAAAGCAAAAACATTTTTTTTAAATGGGCAACTACTTTTGTTGCCTTTTGGTTTGGAGTGTCCTAAAAAATAGCATGCAAAAAGCAACCAAGTTGGATGTACCAGGTTTGATATTTTCCTACTAGAACCTTAATGCATCATAATAGTTCAGTATAAATTGGGTTAGAAACCGACTTTGAACTTACCACATCAGTTGTCTTTGTAAGCACTGCTGTCTTTATGTGATTATAAAAAGAAGTATAGAGCACGCTATGGCAAAAGTATCTATACCATTTTTTAGGGTTTAAAGGGGCAACTACAGTGATGCAGGTTGCTGGTTAGCTTAGAATAAAGACTGGGGTAGGGGAGAACAGCTATCCTGGCTCTGGAATGTGTTTCAGCACCAGTTGTCATGTGGTCGCCCTCCTTTGAGGCCTTGAGAAAGTTCATAACAACAGTGGATGGACTAATGCTGTACATATTTTATATTATTTTATATTTATTTTTTGTTGTGTATCATTGACAGTAACTTACATGTACGTCTAAACATTTTAAACACTTGTTTGAGTTATGATAGGTCGAAAAATAGTCCAATTCTAACCGAAAATCTGTGGACCTAAAATCGAAATAGTTGTATAATTCCTGCTTTTGGGTTGATTCATTTATTGATTAGTAAGAGGGGCTGTCAGCTCAGCTGTACTTTCAGATAGAGAAATGGTGCTTTTGATTTAATTTTCAGCCAGCCTTGACCTTGGCAAACCTCGCTTGGCCTCCACATGGAAAGCTGCCCAGAGCTGCTGCGGTCTCTCCAAAGTTCCAGTGGTGTGAGTGAGCACCGTTAATAGACATACCCTCCCTAACCACCAGTGGAGAAATGAACGTTTCAATTACGGTATGGTGCACTGCTAATAGCACTTGGACCGCGTGTCCAGCTGGAATCCATTTGTTGCCGCGCTGGGAGATCGGCGAAGATGTCACGAGCGCTCTGCAATGAACGTGCTTTGGCGGGGAACGAGGGGCAGCTGTGACGCTCCTGATTCATGCTCTGATTGACAACTTGGTTTTTTCTTCCACTTCGGGACGGCCTGTGGTCATAATGTACTCACTTTAAGCATCCCAGGCCTTATGTCTGTTTTATGTCTCCCCTGGATAGGCATCCAGACTCAGAGGCTGCCATTATGATGATTACACTCATCTTATCCACAGCACTGCAGGCCAGGATACACAGTCTATAACCACTTAAATATTAGCTGCTTTACGTTGCTTGCAGGATTATTGCAGCCACATTAAGGCAGATTGGACCTTTCTGAAAATACCTTTATAGGCATATACTGCATAATAAACAATGTAGATAAACAGAAAAGATAAATGGGAGTCCCCAGGAATAAGCGTGCAGAAACAAGGGCAAACATGCAGATTAGATGAAGTGGAATAAATTACCCATAAATTGCCCATAACCAAGTGTGACTGTGTATGATAGATGTAACGTAAATCTAAGTCCTAGCCAAGCATTCAAAACCATCAAAGATGTCCCACTATCTCCCTT